TGATGATTGGTGCTGTTGAGCATCTTTTCATGTCTACTAGTGGCCTGGTGCACAAAATTCATGCACGGGGGAGGTGTCCTTCAGCCCGGCCTGCACCCTTTCCAAACTGGGACCCCACAGGGATCGGGCCTTAACCAGTAGTCGGGTCAGTGCACATCATAGCGATTGGTTGACTGGTTGACAGTCTGTCCCCGGTGGTCAGTGTATGTCATAGTGAGGGGTTGAGTGGCCTTAGCATATCATTAGCATATTACGCTTTGATTGGTTGAATGGCTGACCAGACAACAGGACACTTAGCATATTAGGCTTTTGTTATATAGGACTAGTGGCCTGGTGCACAAAATTCATGCACGGGGGAGGTGTCCTTCAGCCCGGCCTGCACCCTTTCCAAACTGGGACCCCACAGGGATCGGGCCTTAACCAGCAGTCGGACATTTCTCTCGCAATCTGGGACCACTGGCTCCTAACTGCTCACCGGCCTGCCTGCCTGATCACCCCTAACACTCTGCCTGCTGGCCTGCTCGCCCCCAACTGCCCCCCCTGCCGACCTGATCACCCCCAACTGCCCTCCCCTCCTAGCCTGATCACCCCTAACTGCCTCTGCCTCAGCCCAGCCACCATGGCTTTGTCTGGAAGGACGTCTAGAAGGTCTCCTGGTCTAATTAGCATATTACCCTTTTATTAGTATAGATAATTGTTCACCTGAAACATTACAAGTAGCCTTGTAACTGCCCTTACTTCCCTCTAGTTCAGCTTTCCCACTCCTTGCAGAGAGACTTAAAAGTGAATCTGATCACATCTCTTCCTAGCTTAGCTCTGTGCAGTTCGCAGATCCACCCGCTGCTTACGTGTTAAGGCCCAGACTTCCTTAGCAGGCTCTATGACATGAGCCTGCCATTTGTTTAATCTCATCTCTCGGCACTCTCCTCCTTGTGCTTTATATTCTAAAATCCTGGGCTACTTGCTTACACCTGAACTGAGTACAACATGCTGTTTCAATATCACTTTACACAGAACTCTTCTTTTTGTTCAGAATTATTTTCTCTTTTCTTCCTCTGCTTATCCAGATTCTGAATTCCTGTTCATGTTGTAAAAGTTAATTCAGATGTTACCATCTCTTATCCCTCCCCACCCCAATAATTAATTATTCACTTCCTCATTGGGCATTTTGTACAGGTCTTTATCATAAATCATGGAATTATAAAATGAATTCCATGATGAATGAGGCCATGTCTTCTTTATCTTTATATTCCTAGTGCTATAATAAAGTGCCTGACATATAATTACACATTTTAAACCTACTTTTTATTGTATACTATATAAAAATATATATTAAAGAATATGATTTTCAAATATTTCATAAAACTAAAATTTTTTTATAAGCACTACATTTGAATTACAGAATAAACATAAAATTTAGACTAGCAAAAAGTACCCCAGTCTCACTCACTCATGTGCAACCACTATTTACTTTTCAGTATAGAACCTTCCAATTCCTCTTCTATATGTATTTGTATACATACTTGACCTGAGTATGGTAGAAGGGAAGCACTCTAACTAAGGATAAGGTCTTTTCTTGGCTCTATCTCTGTCCAAATAACAAGAGAAAGTTATTTGAATCCTCTGTATGAAGTAAACTTTGCCATTTTTATCTTGAACAGTGATGTAATATTCAAATGAGATAAGGAAAAAATATTCAAGTGAGATAAGGAGGTCTCTGGCATTTTCAAAATGTTGCATAATGTTATTTTTGACAGCACTGCAGTCTTTCTGTATTTTAGTTGTAATTCCAGTTTGTTCCTGGGAGCATGTCCATGCAGTATCCACTGACTCTGCGCCATTTTTAATATCTCCAGCAGTGCAGTCTGGAAGTTAAAGTATCTGTGGCAGAGCCATTATTGACAGCAGCCCAGATCTCAGGAGGAAATCTACTGAAGGTCACATTGGAGGCTGCCTACTCTGTGCCTGAATCCTTCGTGCCAACAGGGCCTGTGCAGAACTACATGGTTGGTCTGCAAGTTCCATCAACTGGAGAGGTAAAGCCCTCTAGCTACATATTTATATATATTTAAACACTCATATGGGCATCTCTTCTTCACCTGCTAAGATTTCATTCAAATCAAGCTCTGCTAATGGCTGAGATTTCTTTTAGGCTTAAAAAATAAAGTTTACTTCTGTTTTATAAATAGATGTTTGTGTTTATAGTTTATATATTATATATAATATAGTATAGATTAAATATAATTTATATCAATAAATGCTTTATGATGGGATATATGTAGAACATCTTTAAATTGACAACTTTTGGAGTTATTTCTACACAGATTACCTCATGCATATGTTTTGTGGATTTTGTATAATGTACTTTATGTAAAAAACTCCCTCTTGCCCTGGCCAGTGTGGCTCAGTTGGTTGGAGTACCATCCTGTACACTTGAAAGGTCACAGGTTCAACTCCCTGTCAGGGCACATACCCAGGTTGCCAGGTTGATCCTTGGTCGGGGTGGGGGCTGGAGGCGACTAATCTATGTTCACTCACACATCGATGTTTCATTCACTCTCTCTCCTGTCCTCTCTCTCTAAAATCAATAAAAGCATGCCGTCAGTGAGGATTAAAAAAACAACAACTTTCCCTTAATTCCAGATTATTTTCTTAGTCCAAATTTCTATAGAATGATGGTGTATGGGTCTTTTGAGGCTCTTGATAGAGATTTCCAAACTGCTCACTAAAAGGGAGTAATTAGTTAATGCTCCCACCTGTTGATTTTTTGTTCTATTTCTCTAAAAAATGACATTGGGGTTTTTATGGGAATTGCATTAAATCTGTTGCAATGCGCCCTGACCAGTTTGGCTCAGTGAATAGAGCATCAGCCTGCGGACTGAAGGGTCCCAGGTTCGATTCCGGTCAAGGGCATGTACTTTGGTTGCAGGCACATCCCAGTGGGGAGTGTGCAGCAGGCAGCTGATCAGTGTTTCTAACTCTCTATCCCTCTCCCTTCTTCTCTGTAAAAAATCAATAAAATATATTTTAAAAAGTCTGTTGCAATGTTTAACTATATTGATTCTTCCAATTCATGAACACAGAATATCTTTCCATTTCATTGTGTCTTTTTAGTATATAGGTTCTTCACATCCTTTGTTAAGTATATTGCTAGGTATTTTATTCTGTTGGTTGCAATTGCGAAAGAAAATGTTTGGTTTTTTCCCCCTGAAGTTTCATTGTTAGTATATAGAAAAACAGTGAATTTTTGTACATTGATTTTGCATCCTGTTTATTGTTTATTGTTTATTTTTTTGTTTCAAGTTTATTGTTTCTTATAGTTTTTGGTGGAGTCTTTAGAATTTTACATATACAGAATCATGTCATCTGCAAAAAATAACACTTTTTTTAGTCTTTCCTAATTTGGATGCCTTTTATTTCTTTCTCTTACCTGATTGCTCTGGCTAGGACTTCCAGAAGTATCTTGAATAAGAATAGTGAGAGTGGACATCCTTCTTTTGTTCCTGATCGTAGAGGAAAAGCTTTCAGTTTTTCACCATTGAGTATGATATTGGCTGAGGGTTTGTCACATATAGCCTTTATCATGTTGAGGTACTTTTCTTCTATGCCTATTTTATTGAGTGTTTTAATCATAAATGGATGTTTTATATTATCAAATGCTTTTTCTGCATTTATTGATAAGATCGTATGATTTTATCCTTTGTTTTATTAATGTGGTATATTACATTGTTCGATTTGCATATGTTGAACCATCCTTGTGCCTCTGGAATGAACCCCTCCTGATCGTGATGTATTATATTTTTAGTGAATTGTTGTATTCGAATTGTTAGTATTGTGTTTAAGATTTTTGCATGTATATTCATCAGAGATATTGGTCTGTAGTTTTCTTTTTTAGTGTTATTCTTACCAGGTTTTGGTATCAGGGTTATGATAGCCTCATAAAATGTTGGGAAGTTTTGTCTCTCCAAATTTTTTTGGAAGAGTTTGAGAAGGATAGGTGTCAAATCTTCTTTGAATATTTGGTAGAATTCACTAGCGGAACCATATGGTCCTGGACTTTTATTTTTTGAAAATAAAAGGGAGATATTTGATGGTTGTTTTAATTTTCTCACTGTTTATCAGTCTATTTCGATTTTCCATTTCTTCATGAGTCAGTCTAGGAAATTTATAGATTTCTAGAAACTTATCTATGTCTTCTAGGTTTTTGAATTTGGTGGCATATAATCTTTCATGGTATTCTAGTATGATTCTTTGTATATCAGTGATGTCTGTGTTAACTTCTCCTTTTTCACTTTCAATTTTGTTTATATGAGTCTTTTCTCTTTTTTCCTAGTGAGTCTAGCCAGGGGTTTATAAATTTTATTAATATTCTCTTTTTAAAAAATATTTTTATTGATTTCAGAGAAAGGGAGAGAGACACAGAAATATCAATGATGAGAAAGAATCATCAATGGGCTGACTCCTGCATGCCCCCTACTGGGGATCAAGCCTGCAACCCAGGCATGTGCCCTGACTGAAATAAAATTATGACCTCGTGGTTCATAGGTTGATGCTCAACCACTGAGACTCATCAGCCAGGCTAATTTTTTCAAAGAACCAGGTTTTTATTGTATTAACTTTTTTTGGCATAGTCTTTTTGTTCTCTGTTTAATTCAGTTCTGCTCTAATTTTTATTACTTCCTTTCTTCTGCTGACTTTGGGTTCCTTTTGTTCTCCTTTTTCTAGTACTTTAACATGTAATGTTAGGTTGTTTATAGGATATTTTTCATTTTCTTTCCAAGCTGCCTTGCTACCTTGGTTATTCATGGTATTTGAAGGATTCCTTCTCTGTCTAGGCATCAATGTGTGAGTGGCATTTCTCTAGTAGATTAATACAAAGAGGTCTTTATATTCTTTTCTGGTAGATGACATTGAACCACAAGCATTTTTAGCTCGTGAAATCCTAGTGCCAACCCCAAGTTTCTGGCTGCCATCAGCTTCTTTGTTGTTTTTCCCTCCCAGTAATGGTGACATTGTGTCCTCCGTGGGGAACCCCTCTGCCCCAATCCTGAGATGGGTCATAGAGTGCACCCTTTGCTCAGGGAGAAGTGTGATTCTATAATACTGGTTCTCAGATTTACAGATAATGTGCTCCATAACCCAAAACCAAGGACAAAGGGAGGCAAACTCTGGGAGGTTAAGATGAGGTAGTCAGACTTTGTGGCTTTGTTTCTGTGTCTGAATTGCTGATGCCCTGACAACTGTGGCCGCACTCCTGTGCCTTGCCCAGGTCTCTCTGTCCAGCTGCAGATCATACTGCTCACTTCTGCAGGAGTGCTCACTGAGTCTCTTTGCTCCTCCTGGCTGAAGGGAGTGTGAGCCACGACTGGATTCCTCTCCTCCCTAAACAGAGCCCCACCATGAGCTCCTAGCTGCCAACTACATTCCTAGCTTGTAACAGCTCCTCTCTCTTTTCGCCTCCCCCTTTTGCTCCACTTGCCCACCTCTAGGTATTTCAATGTGTGAATCTTCTAGGCGTATTTGTACATTGAGCAGGGAGTCCTTTGTTGAGTAATAGCTGTTCAAATTGTTGAAACTTCAAGGGGAGAGGCCAAGGGGATCTCTCACACTGCCATTCTTCTGATATCACCCCAGTATCTTCTGATCTACAAAAGATTTTAATTTTGATGAAGTGCAGTTTGTCCATGTTTTCTTTTGTTGTTCATAACCAATCAATCATTGTTAAACCCAATGTCATGAATCTTCCCCACTCTGTTTTCTTCTAAGAGTTGTATAGTTTAGTGTTCGGCCTTTGATTCATTTTGAGTTAATTTTTCTGTATGATGTTAGGTAAGGGTCCAACTTCATTCTTTTGCATGTAGATAACTAGTTTCTTAGCACTATTTGTTGAAAAGACTGTTCTGTACCCATTGAATGGTCTTGGCACCATTAATTTTATAATTTTTGCCAATATTTATATTGTTTTTATAGAGGAGCAGATTTTTAGAAGTCCTTACTCTGCCATTCCAGAAATGTCCCTTCTTCACAAACATTTTTAAACTTAAAATAAAGAACTAGAATAGCTGAGTAATAGGGTATGCCAATTTTAAATTTTACTAGATACTACAAACTTTCCGTGGTTCCATCAACTATAAATATAAAAATACCATTCCCTTAACAATATTTATACTTGATATTTTCAGGCTTTGACTTTGCCAATGTATGGTTTAAAATGGTATGTCATTGTTTTAATGTGCATTTCACTTACTATTAATGATATCTAACATGTTTTTATTTAAATGTTATATTTTCTAATTTTTCTTTCTATAATTTTTTTATTTACATCTTTACCAGTTTCCTATTGCAAATATATTTTAGATAAATTATAAATATGGAAGTGCCTATATTTTAGGTCTTTGTCAAATTTGTTTTTTAAAAGATAATTTTTAAAAAGCTAAATCATAACCCTAATATAAATATAAAATGACAAAAAGGGTTTAAATCAGTTTAAAGGAGAATCTGAAGAAATGACCCATAGGTAAGCAATCAGGACTGTTGAAGTTTTTTTTCTTTATTGATTTTTAAAGAGAGAGGAAGGAAGAGGGATAGAGAGTTAGAAACATCGCCGAGAGAGAAACATCATTGATCAGCTGCCTCCTGCACACCCCCTACTGGGGATTGAGCCTGCAACCCAGGCATGTACCCTGATGGAGAATCAAACCTCTTGGTTCCTGGATCAATGTTCAACCTCTGAACAACTCTGGGTGGGTGAAATGAATCTGCTAATAATTCAAACCTTGTTATCAGCCACAGGACAATAATCAGTTACATCTCCACTGGACAAAGTACTTTGCTATCTATAGACAAGAATATTTTGAGTTATCATAAATTTTTAATAAATTACAGAATTATAAAATAGCACAAAGACAATGAAGGGCACAGGCGCTTCTACAGAATCAGATAATCACAGAAGGGTCTGTTAGATAATACCCAGCATTGCATTGAAGACACTTCAGGCCCTGACTAGTGTGGTTAGATGGTTAGAGCGTCGACCTGCACACCAAATGGGTTTGATTTCTGGTCAAGGGCAGGTACCTGGGTTGTAGATTCAATCCCTGGCCCTGATCAGGGCTCGTGAGGGCGTTAACCAATTGATGTGTCTGCCTCACATTGATGTTTCTGTGTCTCTCCCCATCTCTTCCACTTTCTCTAAAAATCAATGGAAAAAATATCCTTGGGTAAGGATTAACAAAAACAATAATATGACATTTCATTAATCCATTTTGTCCATTTCAAAGTCTTTTACAAAATCTCCTGATGTATTTATTTCTGCAGAAAGACTATCCTATTTTCTTCAAGAATGGAACTCTGAAGCTTGGAGGGGAAAGAGAACCTACTCCCCGGCCCAAAAAATGGCCTATTGCCAACATTCTGGCTCCAGGAGCTAATAACATTCCTGATGCATTCATTGTTGGTGGGCCCTACGAGGAAGAAGATGGAGAACTCAATCACCCTGAGGTGAAGGAGTTATTCAGCTTTTCTGTGATAAATTCAGTGTGACATAAGATAAAATATTTTGTGAATCACTATAATTTATTTGCATTATTACCTGTTAAAATGGAACAATTATATGCCAATAATACAGTTTTCACCCTCGCCTGTTTGGCTCAGGTAGAGTTTCTGTCTTTGAACTAAAGGGTCACGGGTTCAAGTCCAGTCAGTGGCACATACCTCGATTGCAGGCTCTATCCCTAGTCCCTGGGAGACAACCAGTTGGTGTCTCTCTCATATCGATGTTTCTCTCTCTCTCTGTCCCCCCCCTCCCTTCCACACTCTCTAAAAATCAATGGGAAAATATCCTCAGGTGAGGATTAACAACAACAAAAATAATAGTTTTCTAATTCTGATTTAAAAGTCTCCGGACATCCTCAGTCCAGCAAACAAAATAATTGAATTAATTCAAATTTACCCTTTATTTTGTTTTATATTTATTTATGTTTGAGTAGGTAATAATACAGTCACAAGGAGAAATAAAAAAATTAAGAAATATGCTGTTAAAGTCTCCCTCCTTCCTCCTAATTCCTTCCCAGATCACCACCCAGTAACCACCTTTTTATAGTTTCTTTCAGTTTCAGTGATATAATTTGTAAGATAAGGATGGTTGAATTACTTTCAATATCTGACACTAAATATTTTAAATAATAGAGATAAGGCTAAAATATTTGAAAAACATTCTGCAGTGTCTTTTCTCATTATTGTGATTATTGGAAATTCATATTGTTCTTAGATTTATATTTTCATTTAGAGCAGATATTTTATTTTAGATATTTAGATTTTATGTTATATTTTAGTTGAAATCATTAATTCTCAAACCTCGTTGCTCATTAGAAACACCTGGAAAGCTTTTAAAACAATAACAATGGCCAAGCCTTAACCCAGACCAATTACATAAGAATTTACTTTTAATATAATACCAATGTCCAGATGTTGATTATTTTTTTAAAGACACTCTCGAATAATTCTAACATGCATTCAGGGTTGAGGATCACTGATTGAGGTTATGTGAATTAGTACTGGATCGCTATGAGGATAATATAAGTAATTTATCTTATGTACTGTAGTAATAAAGCACCCTAAAATTTAAGGTTGTGTAGTATCTACAGTTGTAGGCGTACTTATGGTAATAATAGTAGTAGTAATAAAGGTGCTGTGATCAAATTACCTAAAAGAATGCCCCACTAATTGGGCAAAATGAAACCATGGCACATTGGGAGAACAAAAGTCTCTTATTATTTTACAGGACAGGGAAGTGAGGATCCAATCAGAGTGCTTAAAGAAAAGGATCACTTGGGACTTGGAAAGTCGTTGCTACCTTGATCCTCCTGCAGTGGTCAGGTAGGAAGAGGAGGGGAATCTAAACAGCACAGACTGTAGGTGGGAAGAAATGTTGCTTTTGTTAGCTTTATCTACATTTGAGTTAAGGTGATCTGAGACTCTTTCATCACATCTGCTAATAACAGAGGCTTCTAGTGATGGTGAGTTAACCAAGGTAGGTTCTTATTTCCCTTTCAGATAAAAGAACTTCAGAGTTGGTATGTATGGTGGCTCCTCAGTGTTAAGAGGCATCTAAGCTCAATGTGTCTTTTTGCTCTACCTTCCTTGACATGTGCCTTCCCTCCACAAGGTTGTCTCATGGTCCAGAATGGCTGTGAGAGTTCCAATCTACACATGCACAGTCCTGGCAGAAAGTTGGAAGAGGGTAGTGCTTATAGATTAAAAAAAAAAAGGAACATGCTGGCTGCCTTCGCCCCTCTTACGAAAAAAAAAAGGACACATGCTGGCTGCCTTCGCCCCTCTTATGGAGTCTTCCTGGAATCTGACAACCTCTGTTTATTGCTTGTTGGTCACCTCTATATGCAAAAGAGGCTAGAAAATATGTTTTTGTTGGATACATTGTTGTTGTCCAGATTAAACCAGGATTTAGATACTAAAAACACAATTGATATTGTATGGGTAACTATTAGTCTCTGACCTGGCAATCAGGGGAAGATGAGAAATAGAGAATTATCAATATATTTATAATCTGAATGAACAACTATTTTATTTTATCTTCAATTAATAGGTTATTTTTAGAATTAATTGAGCAGATATTTTGGAGAGTTCCAGTATACCTCTAGTTCCCCACTTGATCAAATGTATAACTAAATATACATGATGGATTTGATTTGCTGATATTTTGTTAAGACAACACTGTTGCTCATTACTTTGAACAAACGATTATCAACTTGATCAATTAAAAATTAAAAATAAAATAAAAAGAAATAGACCTGGCTGGTGTTGCTCAGTGGTTGGAGCATTGGCCTGTGTACCAAAGGGTTGCAGGTCTGATCCCCAGCCCCTGTTGGGGTGCATGCAGGAGGAAGCCAATCTATGTGTCTCTCTCACATTTATGTTTCTTTTTCTATTTCTCTCTCTTTTTCTTCCTCCATCTCTCCCTCACTCCCTCCTTCTCTCTCTAAAAACATCAATGGAAAATATATCCTCAGGTGAGGATGAAAAATAAATAAAAATAAATAAAAAATTTCACCTTTATTTCATTCTTTGATTCTTTTCCTTTCTTTATATAGATTCAAATTTCTGACTCATCATTTTTCTTATCACTGAATACTTGTAGCATTTCTTATAAGGCAGGTCTACTGGCCACAAATTCCCTCCATTTTTGTTTGAGAAAATCTTTATTCTTGATTTTTTCTTCACTTTTGGAGGATAATTCCACTGGATACAGAATTCTAGGATGGTGGTTTGTCTCTTTCAATACTTTAAATATTTCACTCTGCTCTCTTACTTGCATGGATTCTGAAGAGGAGTCCAATGTAGTTCTTACCTTTGTTCTTCTATAGGAAAGGTGTCTCTCCTCCTCCCTTTCCCACTCTGGCTTCTTTCAAGATTTTTACTCTCTCTTTGGTTTTCTACGGTTTGAATAATATATACCTAGGTGTAGATTTTTTAGCATTTATTATGCTTGGTGTTCTCTGAGCTTCCTGGATCTGTGGTTTGGTGTCTGCCATTACTTTGGTAAAATTCTTAGCCATTGTGACCTCAAATATATCTTTTGCTCCTTTTTCTCTTTCTGGTATACCTGTTGCATCTTTTGTAATTGTTCCATAGTTCTTAGATATTCTGTTATGATTTTTTTCAATTGTTTCCCTTCCCACTTCAGTTTGGGAAGTTTTTATTGACATATCTTCAAACTAACTAATTCTTTCCTCAGTTATATCCAGTCTATTGATAAGCCCATCAAATGAATTCTTTATATTTGCTGCAGTGTTTTTTATTTCTAGCATTTTCTTTTGATTCTTTCATAGAGTTTCCATTCTCTCTCTGCTTACTTTACCCGTCTATTCTTGCATGTTGTCTGCTTTTTCCATTAGAACCCTTAACATTTAATCATAGTCATTTTAAATTCCCTATCTGTATCATAATTCCAAGATCTGTGTCATAACTGAGAATAGTTCTTATGCTAGCTTTATCTCTTAAAACTGTATTTTTCTTGCCTTTTAGGATTCCATGTAATTTTTAATTTAATTTTTTAAGGTTTATGAACATGATAATTTATTAATGACAACACTTTTTGTTTTGTTTTTATAAATCTCTATTGTTGAAAGTATTACATATGTCTCCTTTTTGCCCTCATTGACCTCCTCCAGCCCTCCCCCCACCCTCCAGGCCTTACCACCCTATTGCCTATTTTCATGGGTTATGCATATATCCATG